AAATGACAGTGCTTAAAAAAAAAAAAAAAAAGGTAAAAAAAAATGACAGTGCTTCATAACTGTATGATTTAATTGAAATTATTTTGAAACACTTTATCAGAGTAGCCTAACTTCCATGACAAAAATTTTTATTTTTTTCCTTTAATAACAGAAGACTTATGAGTGTATTGTTCAAATAATGCTTTCATTTTCGCTGAACTCTCCATCCTAGAATTGTAAGAAAAGTGCTTTCAGTGTAATAAGAAAAGTTGCAGTCAAATTCCAATGAGCTGGGGACTGAATGGATGAAGCAGTAGACTACATTTTTTAACAGTTTGCCTACAAGGGTTAAAAACAAAGAGGAAGTTGTAGCTAGAGAAACTTATTGGTTAACAGAAGGATTTTTACTTCTTTCTTCTCAATTTTCAAGATGGATGATATCTGAACACTCTTATGTGCTGAAAAAGAAACCACTGAAAAAGGAGAAGTTGAAAAAACAAGCAAGGGACAACTGACTGAGAAAAGTCCTATAGAAGTCCCAGGGGATAGGTGTGGTAATTTTAAAACATATCCACAAATTCTTATTATTCCTCCTTTTAAGAGGTAGAGCTTAATTTCTCTCTCCTTCAGTGGGGGCTATATTTAGTGACTTGCTCCTAACAGAATGTGGTGGAAATGCTGGAGTATAACTTCTGAGGGTGGGTCATAAAATATATTGTGGCTTCTATCTTGTTCCCTCATGGCCACTCGCTAGGGGAGAAGCCAGCTGTAGTGTTGTTAGAACACCCAAGCAGCCCTATGGAGAGGCCATGTGGTAAGGAAGTAAGGTATCTGCCAAGGTCCAGTGAGTGAACTGTCTTGGAAGCAGATCCTTCAGCCCCAATCAAGCTTTCATGATTGCAGCCCCATCCAATTTCTCGACTCTGGGACAGAGCCACCCAGTTAAACTGTTCCCTGTCCAACAGAAACTGTGAGATGATACATGTTTATTATCTTAAGTCACTAACCTTGGAGTAATTTGTTACAAAACAATAAATAATACAGTAGGTGAAGAGGAGAATCCCTGCAGTGGGACAGGAGATGGGAGAGAGATGGAAGGGGGTAAAGGTAAGTTAAATAAGAATAGTTTTAATTTTAAAATTTTAAAAAATTACCGCTTTTATTTACTCTCTACTTGAGCATTCCAAAAGCATTTTTGGCATAATATTCTCCATAAGTCATATTACAAAACTAGTAACTCATATGATTCAGAATTATAACATTATATGGCAGTCTAGATCAATACTGTGCTAATTATTTACTATTAGACAGTGAAAGACTATTGTTAAGCAAATATTTTGTTCCTTTAGAAATTTTTCTTATAAAATTCACTTAAAATGTCATTTTTGCAGACAACTTACCTGTAACCAATGCTGTTCCTTCATAATTCCATCTTCCTGCAAGTACTGCACCACAGTGAGCTTCTACACTTTTTTCCACTCTTCCTAACTTAGAAATCAGATGAAATTTACCTAAAAGAAATTATACTTGAGAAATCTATTTTATTAAAATAATTTATTCAACCGACAAACATCTGTTGACTGCCTACTACTAGACTAATTAGCATGGTGCTAGGCACTGAAGACAAAAGGGCAAATAATATAATTATTCTTACTTTTGAGGAACACACATATATTGGAAAAGAGGCATAAACAAAATTACAAAACCTTGAAACAATTGGTGCAAGAGAATATATGTATATGATACTATGGTAATTCAGGGGGACAATAAAACTCTGCTGGGATATGGCCAAAGGGATCAAAAGAAATGTCAAGAAAGTCTTCTATTTAAGCAGTTTTGCTGTCTTGCATTTTTTTTATAGGCTATAAAAAAGCTGGAAAAGGTATAGAGGAGAGGAACCAAGATAGTGAAATGGTTTTTAAAGATAAACTGAGGCATATTTTTAAACTTTAAGAGTTTATTTGAGCAAAAATTGATTCTAATCAAACAGCACCAAACCAGAAGTGGTTAGGAGCGCTCCACTGACAGGAGCTCAGAGAGAGGTTTGGTAGAGAAAAGGCATCTATGTCTCTGGATCCATTTTGTTCATCAGTTTATTTTGTTTATTATATTCCACATATAAGTGAGATCATGTGGTACTTGTCTTCTCTCACTGGCTTATTTTACTTAGCATAATACTTTCTAGTTCCCTCCATGCTGTGCCAAAGGATAAAAGACATAGAAGCATGGAACAGACTGAGGGATCTCAGAGGGAAGGTGGGGAGGAGGTACTGGGCAGGGAGGGATTAATCAAAGAACTTATATATTTATAAGCATAACCCATGGACACAGACATTGGTCTGGGGAAGGCCTGGGGGTAGAGTGGATACAGGGTGGAGGGGATCAATGGAGGTAAAAAGGGGACATCTGTAATATTTTCAACAATATTTAAATAAACAAACAAACAAAACAAAAAATGCTTTCACAGAAAAAAATAAAATAAAATATGATGGGCTGGTCATAAGGTGGAAAACCACACTTTGTATGGATGCATAATCAGATTCAGTAAATACATGTGTTTCTGAATCAAACAATGAAGAAGAAAAAAAGAGAAAAGGCAGAAGCGAAGTAAGAAAATTATTGACTATAGTTTAAAGCCTAGCTGGCTGTTTGTGACTGGTTGTTCTTAGGTTTCAATTACGTAAAATTGAGGCATTTACAGGCTTAGATTTTGGTCTGTGTACATGGGTCGATGGCATTAGTCACCTCAGTTTAATGGCCTCCTTGTTTAGTTAATTTAACAACTAATAATCCTAAGTTTTAAAATACTTGCTTTATATGGTTTTACACTGTACCAGGCACCAGGTAGACCCAAAAAAGCAGGCTACTTTGGTTGTTCACCTCAAAAAATTCACATATACATGCTGGGGCACAAGTAGGTTTACAGCTGTTCATATGGAAATAATACAATAATTAATAAATAATAATACAAGAATAAACTCTGTTTCATGTACTCACAACTGTAAACCTACTTGTGCCCCACCCTGTACTAGGAAAAAAAGTTGAAAAACTACAACTTTAAAGTATGTAATGAAAGTATGTAAGTGATGTCAAGGGGACAAATCAACTGTGCAAAGAGTTAAGTACTACAGGAATCCTAGAAAAGATCAGTGTGATTTTGAATGATCATGAAATCTAGCCATACATAGATTGTAATAAATTAAGTACAGTGAAATTAGAAACTTTCTCCAAATCAATATGTATATAAATGTGTGTGTATATATATATGTATAATTTTTGTTTTTGCAGTAAAAGAATAATGTGCCTGCCTAACCAAAATTTGCCTCAGAGGATTTATTTTGTTTCAATTCACTTTTAACTAAAGGCTTTCAAAATTGGCCTAATACTAACAACTCATTAAAAATATATTTCAGTCAGGTGCCTAAGATGGCTTTAATACATTTCTCCGGAGAACTCTAATACAGGTGGCTTTAAAACTTTTAACACCTAGCATCCTGTGGTTCTTTCACTGACCACCTACCCATTTCCACCAACAAAGTCTTTCTCTCTTTTTCACACACAATGTACATTATTTGTAGCACAGTCGTAGCATTTTTTATTAGACTGTGATTCATTTCAGGGAAGGGGGCCAAGTCTTAGTCATATTTTTATTTGCAATATGCTCTTACATAATCAGCATTTGTTAAATTTAACCAATTCAGTAACCATACCTAGTAACTAAAAATAAATAAATATAATGGACTACTTTGACATTCCTATCTTTCTCCCTCCTTTTCTAGTGCTTCAACAAGGATCTACTGTTTTCTTTCATCCAACCACCCACTAGTACCACTAGTACCATTTACTTTTCCCCATACTGTACCTTCCTTTTAATTTTATAATTACCTCTGGGTCATTTTTCAATGTAACAATTTCTTTTAATTTAATTGTGCTATTCTTTATGAGACTAACTTAAAATTACAGAGAAAATATAAGGGGGGGAAATCTCAAGAGAGGAAACTGTAAAGATGACATATAGTAAGTGGAAAGTTAATCCTGTGGTCGTTTTTTACTTACCCAGGTCTGTTTCACTAAATGTTAGCATATTGCCTAGCACAGAATATCCACATACTAAACAACTGTTGGTTATAATGAATAAATCCAGCACCAAAGAGATTAACCAAGTAACTCTTGAACTAGAAATGAAGGGCCCAGGAATTGTCTCTCAACCTACTCCATATTTCAGGAATTTTATATATTTTGGTCAGTGACATTTGCTGTCATAAAATACTAAATACTGACATTCTGATAAGTGCTAAAATTATTTGTGCATCCTATGACCTCACAGAAGACATACACTGGGACAACGGAGGTCAGCTCTTGGTATAGATTTGGGACTTAATAAATCTTTGGCCTTTGTATACTGGCTCATTATTACAAATTGCTTGAATAGCACACCCAGAGTAAAGCATAAATATAAAATAACATACATCAAATATTTAAAAGCCAATAATTATTCATTTAACTCTTTTGATTCTTCCTCTCTCCAGGTTTTCTATAACTTTTTAAAAGTGCAAGACCAAAACTAGAGATCAATTAATTTATTTCCAATTACTTGCTAGGGGTTTGGGGTTGGGAAGAGAGTATAACCAACATGATTCATCTATTGATTTATTAAACACACAATGGATAATTTGGATAAGAAACATGGATATTTAAATCCTGGGGCATAAAATTAATCTTTTGTTATTAAAGATAAACTAAAAAGAGAAAAATGTTATTAAAAAAAAGAAAAAAAAGAACAGAAGTAGATTTAAGTTATATGGAACACATTTTTTAAAGTTAGAAATGTCCATGGAAATGTGAGAAGGCTTGGAATAGGGTGTTAGGAAAAAAGGGCCCATGAGCACTTTTGCAGACTACTTAATAGCAGAAATGTTTTGGCAAATGGTGGCAAAAAGCCACAAAGAGATCTGTAACAGCTAACTTCTGATAAAAAGAAATAAACACACAAATTCTTTTTAAAGTGGGATTTTAAAATGGACTTATTAACTAATAAGAGAATATAGTGATTATTTTAATATACCAAACGCAAGGTATAAAAATATCAACTTTCACTAAATATAATTTAAGGAGTGTTTATTGGCTTTACAAAAGCTTTTTATACCAGAATTCCTTTACATAGCAACTCCACTAATGCATTTTAAATAATTCAATTCTTTTAAAAATGTAAATCTTTTAACACATTGTTAAAGAAATATCTCCTCTAAAAAGTGGGATACAACTGCATAAAATATTCAAATAGAGGTAAAAATATTGAAGTATTATTGGTGATACAAAACACTTGGCAAGAGTCTGCTTTACGTTCAGGACTTGTCTTGAAACCCAGGGATGTTTCTGGAACATTACCACTAACACCACAGATGAGGGAGGGGGTCAGACAAAGGAAACACTGGAAGAGTGATGAACAAGCTCAAAAACTGTAATCTTTCCTGCCAGGGTTGAGGAAAAAAAATTTAAGAGGAGAAAGATGGTGGCAACTAGAAACAAAAATCTCTTGAACAATGAATTAAATCTTGAAAATATTTTTTTTAAAGAATGGGATTAACATCACACAAACTGAAAAAGCCCTAGAGATCTGATGTACAACATTGTCTTACCATTAACTATACAGCATGGTAAAATTAAAAATTTGTTAAGAGGGTAGATCTCGTGATATATAGGTGTTTTTTTTAACCAGAATAACAGGTATACTTCTTTTAAGTCCTGGGTTAACAAAGAGTATAGCACTGATATATAAAATGACCTCAGATCTTTATCTGGCGGGGAACTCCTTAACCAACTCCTGACGGCACCCCCTTTCTTCTTTTCTGGACCGTTTCTTCTTCATTTCTGGTGCTGTTTTCCGTCTTACCCGTCCACTGCTCCTCTCTGCTCTATCGTCCCTTCCCTCTCCTTCACAAGATCCCAGCAGTCCTCATCCTAGCCTAGAAGAAAGTACTCAACTACTCTACTTTGGTTTTCCTTTTTTCTCACACTTATTTGTGTCATGTTATCTTGTTTTTTTATATAGCTAACTCAAAAATAAAATTAAACATCCTATTTTCTTAAAGATAGTCATAATGTATTTTCTCTTACTTAATCTTGCAAATTTATCTTTTAAATTGCATGTTTTACTTTAGACTTTTTTCCCCTATCAGAAAGTGTTTTATCTAAAGCCAATGTGAAATAAAGATCCAAGCAATTATTCTTTAGTTAAGTAATCATTAATCTTAATAATTTAGGGAAACACTCAGACAACAGAAATTATCAAAACCAATTATTTATTATTCACCAGATAAAAATCAATCCTCATATACTATTGAGTTTAAATAGGAAAATGCGAAGAAAATATATGATATGCCACCTTTGAAATGAGCACATCTAGCACTCTCATCTTAGTTTTTAAATACCATTAAGCACCCAAAAAAAAAGAACAAGAGAAACAGCTGATTTGGGGGCTGAGACTGGAAAAGTTCAAGATGAGCCTAAAACATCTTGTGCCAGCAAAGAAGTGCTGGAAAAATGATGAAGAAACATACCCTCCCCTCAAAAAAAAACAAGTAACATTTGAGCTGGCTTAATGGGACTCCCACTGGCCAAATCTGAGACAATTTTAACAAAAAAATTTTAAAATAATGGTAACAGGCCCTGGCTGGTGTGGCTCAGTGGGTTGAGCATTGTCCCATGCACCAGGAGGTTGGGGGTTCAATACCCAGTTGGAGCGCATGTGGGAGGCAACCAATAAATGTATCTCTCTCACATCAATGTTTCTCTCTCTCCCCCGCCTTCATCCCTCTCTAAAATAAATAATGAATGAATGAATGAATGAAATGGTAACAGGATACTCAAGAAATAAAATACTCAAGATACTTAAGAATCTATGAATCTAACTGACATAAGCAAACAAATAAATAAATGGGCAGGAGATAGGAGGCTCTTCCTTGCAGTAGAATACCAACTAATCAATATGGAAGAAATTATGGAGTTCTAAAAAATTAGCATTTAGCAACCATCTTAATAATAAATGATTCAGCCAAGAATCATCAATATATGCTAAGATAGTGGGAGGAAGTCTGAGGAAGAGAATATTTTTACATAGTCTGAAATTATTCTTTCACAAATTATTTATCAAAAGAGAAAAGCAGTAACTTTACAGTAGATTAATTTAGTGAACACACCTTTTGAAGTAATCAAAAGTAACATCACTAATAATGGGTTAAACCAGCGTCATGAATCTCCCAATCTGATGCCTTAAAGTACTGATGCTAAAAAGTGTAAACTAAATCTAACCATAAGGAAACAGCCAACAAACATAAATTGAGAGACTTTCTATAAAAATAACAGGCCTATATTCTTCAATCTGTCAAGATTAGAAAAGAAAGACTGAGGAGTTGCTCCGGGTTAAAGGAGTCTAGAGAGATAATAAAAGCAATGTGTTATTTAGTACCTAAAAAACCAAATTTTTATAAAAAGACATTATTAGGACAATTGTTAAAATTTTAATATGAACAGTAGATAACAGGATTGCATCAGTGTTAAATTTCCTGATTTTGATCAATGTATTGTGGTCATATAACAGAATATCCTTATTCTTAGGAACTACATTGAAGTATTTATGGTCAAAGGGCATGTCTGTAAAGTACTGGAAAATGTTTCAGAAAAAAAGTGCGTGTGGTGGGGATGTGCAGAGAGAGAGCGGGGATAAAGCTAATGATAAAGAGCACAGAACAAAATGTTAACTACTGAATTTAGATAAAGGATGTGCAAGGGTTACTTGCACAGTTCTTGCAACTTTTCTGTAAATGTGAAAGCAAACCAAAATTAAAAGGTGGTGGTGTTTTTTAAGTCAATGCTTCATGTTATCATCTGAGATGAACTAAATTCTTGCTGCGGTTCTGAATCAGTCTTCTATAGCAAGGCACTACAGCAATACTCTCAAACAACATCTCATTTAATCAAGAAACACGAGGTTAGCCTGGAGGGTGGGGCTAAGTGGTTGAGCCTTGACCCATGAACCAAGAGGTTGCCAGTTTGATTCCCAGTGGGGAGGGTGCAGGAGGCAGCCAATCAATGTTTCTCTCTCGTCAATGTTTCTATCTGTCTATCCCTCTCTCTTCCTCTCTTTCTAAAATAAATAAAACTTAAAAAAAACAAACACAAGCTTAAAAAAATATTAACAGAAGTTCTGTCTGTAAAAGTCATGGCATCTTGTGCTGTCTGCCATACCATCCCTTCCCCGTTCTGGCTACAAAAGCCCTCCCTCTTCCCATTATTTCCCTTCCCACAGTGGCCTGAGGTCTGCTGCATTCAATGAGTGTCCCATTCCCCTGACTAAAGTGACTCACTCAATGATGGGCAAGTGACCCATGATCTCCCAGAACCCTCTCTGCTATTTGTCTGTAAGAGATATTGAGGAAGAAGCACTCTCTCTACTGATATTTCTTTTCTAGCAGGATGAGACTTGGGCTGCTGGCTGCCATCATCACCTTGTAGGGAGAGCCTATCCAAGAGATAGTGAGACCGGCCGGGCGTGGCTCAGTGGTTGAGCGTCGACCTAGGATCCAGGCGATTGGGGTTTGATTCCCGGTCAGGGCACATGCCTGGGTTGTGGGCTCCATCCCCAGTGGGGGGCGTGCAGGAGGCAGTGACTCTCTCATCATTGATGTTTCTATCTCTCTCCCTTCCTCTCTCTAAAATCAATAAAGATACATTAAAAAAAAAAAAAGTAAATACTCTATGTGAAGAAAAATAAGAGATGGTGAGAACAGGGCCTGATGTAGCTGTGCTTAATGATCTATCCCTAGGAGCTAAGTGAACCAAAAAACTCCATCTGTGCATAAGTGTTAGCTAAGTAAGTTTCTGTTACTTTCGATGAATGTATTCTTAATTGACATAGGAGGTAAGTGTCATACAGATAAAACAATTCAAATTATTTCTAAGAAAATGAAAACATTCCCTTAAAAAGTAGAAAATCATACTTTTTACTCACCAATACTAAAGCTATGGTCAAATTAAATAAATCTCCAACTCTGTAAGTAGAAATAAACATGTACTAGAAAATAAAGATAGCTTACTAAATGAGTATGTGTTGTGTCCTTATTTTTAGTGTAGTTATGTCATAAAGTTAAACTTGAAGAAATTAGAAACCAAAATTGGTAACAGCTTAACAACTAGTAAGAGAGCACAGAAAAATTAAGCCTAAGGTTCAGATTCAATCCCACTATACATCAGTTGAACTCACTTTCTTCCATCACAATAGTTTTACTGCTTATACATAAACCAACTGACTACATAGAAAACGGACAAAATGTGTAGATGAAGGTATGCAGATCCACAAATATCAGTTTTGTAAAACAACTCAAACCATAAGTCATATTCATATATTATGCCTTTTAAATACAAAGATGAGCATATAACATTAAAAACTTACCATCAGAACTTGTAAGGACAAAGCTTTCTGCTTGAGTTTGTTTCTTTGTGCCTAAACTTTTTGGAAACCAGTGAAGATCTATTGGGTAAATATCATCAGGAAGCTTTACTATTTGATTTGTTTCACTGGTTAACAAGTTCCACTTCACTATTTGGTGATCATCACTGCATGAATACAGTTCTTCAGCAGTAGTCCAGCCCACACAGCTTACTAATTCTTGATGTGTCACCAATGTTAAGGAGACATAAAAAACACAAGTCTTAAATTTTAAATAATAATTTCCAGATTCAGATTATAAGACAAGTATAAAAATAGGATCAAACATTTCAAGCTTCTAAATGTAGTTTTCATTTTATGGCTTTCATATATTTTCTATTTAAAGGAAAATAAGCATCTAATCAAAACAGTTGTAAGAATGGAAAGCAAGATAAAAAATCCAGATTTGCTGAGAGAGAGAGAAAAGGTCTGACTACCTGAAAATTTTAAAATTGTGTTAAAAATACTCCATAAACAAGACCAAAAGACACACAAAGCATCTAACAGATCAAAAGGTAGGAAAGAATATACACTCAATTACTGGGGGAAAGTGGGGAGAAAAGGAAAGTATACCTTTTTTATTTGCATATATCTTTCATTTAAGTTAGAATAAGTATGTATTATTTTGATGAGTTTTTAAAAATCAAGTGTTAAAAGAAGATTGAAATATAACAGTAAAAATGTCTTCTTAAATTATACATTATAATAACAATTTACCTAGGAAAAAATCTACAGCTTAACAGCTAAAACTAAAATCTTACTTAGCTTATTGACATTAAATTCAGGGAACAGTTCTACTACAATTTACTATGCCTATAAAATGCATAGTGCTGGATGAGACCTGAACCCTAAAATTCTTAGTTTAACTCATCTTTTTGATCTCTGATTTATCAGGATTTCTATAAACTGAGATGCTCAAGTTGCCCTCCCTTCCTCCATCAGAATGGGCTGCTTACTCTAGGAGAATTGTATATATAGAGAAGGCATTTCGGTTTGTCATTTACCAGGGATGCTTTCTCTTGTTTACATCTGGATTTCTCTATTGCCAGATCATTCCTAGATGGGTTCTTTGCTCTCTTGTTGTTATTGTATAATCCTTTTACTTCTTCATCAGTGCTTTTTATTAACTTATCTGAGCATTCAATAAACTTCAAGGAAAAAGAGACAATGTGCCATAATTATTCTGGGATGCTCTAAGGTTTTTTAATATTATTCAAAATATGACAGATTAAGCAAGTAACCAAAAAGGCAAAAAGAAATTATAGAAAGATTACAAGAGCCTTAAGATAAATAGGTAATAAAGTGGCACTGCAATACTCAGAACTCAAAGTATAATCTAAACCAAAGGATGGCATCACTAGACCATTACTGAAAAAAATTATTCCAATATAATTTCTATAGCCTAAATGATGTTAGGTAAGACCTTTAGAAAGGGAGAATGTTAGGTAAAACCTATCAAGGGAGAAAATGCACACACAAGCACACACACACAAACATAAAACATTAAGGTTATCCTTATATAAATTGCTGTAAGTATACATGTGCACAACGTATCTTCTAACTAACAGGTCCAAAATTATGAGAGAAATGAGAAGACTGCCAGATTAAGAAAGTCTAAAAAAGATTGTTATTAGACTATTATTCTTCAAGCTTGAAAAGAAAGGCAAAAGCAGATAATGGACAGTCAAAATCTTGCAAATGGCATGAATCTTGTATATGGTATGATTGTAAATGGCATGAACACCTGACAGCACACTTTGAAAAAAGAGTAAAAATGACTTACGTACAAATAAGAGGAATTGTATCACTCAAAAGGTAGAACAATCAGACAAGATAATATAAATTTAAAAGATTTGATCAAATGTCTAATTCAGTGCTTTTCTATCTCTGATGAAGGCAGACATTTTTCTTGATTTCAAATCTGTCACAGATCATTTTGTCAGATGAAATAAAAATGAATTACTAGAAAAATGATCTTATATTTGATGATGGTTTCCCAAAGTCAAATTACTACAAAAATTTTTTTACCTCTTACTTTCAATTTCTGTACTGATCCCTTTATAGACCTGTAATAAGGTCTGCAGATAATACTTTTAGACACACTTATAAATAACAATGAAGTTATATATCTTCCTGACATATAGCTGGGAAGTCTTGCTGACATAATATAGGGTCATGCATTTGAGAAAATATTTATAATTGTCATCTTCCTACATGAACTAATAAAGCTCTGACTACTCAGATTTCTCCAGCTTGTTCTCCACTTTATCATGAGTATGAGGGGATGAGGGAATAGAGCAGAACTCATTTAAAAACATACTACATCACACTAGCAAAGAAATTATTTGGTTAAAAAAAAGCTTCTCTTTAAGATCCTACTAGACTAAAGAAAAACTTTTTTTTTTTTATGTACTTAAGTACAGTACTTAAGAAAAATGTCAATAAGAATTTGAAAGTAAGATTTAGAGCAAATAGTTTGCTTTGGAGAATTACCTGTAACACATGATCTCAAATATTTCAAAAACAATTTAGTTAAACTACCATTAAAGGAATGAAAAAACACCATTATCCAAGTAGAATACAAAACAGGACAAAATTTTTAACAATACTCTAGTAAGATGATCAAAGTAAGGTCTGTAAGTGTTAAAAGGATATGCTTTGGTTCTTTTAAAAGAGATATCTTCAGTCTCATGCTTCCACTTTCCAGCAAAATGTTAAAATGCTACTTGATTGTATTCACTGTAAAAATAAAAGTTAGGGGGAAAATATAAAATCTGCATTAAAAACAAACACATGAACAAAAAAATATAGAAGCAAAACATCTTAGCTCCAAGGACACTAAAACACATCTTCAATCCTGCTGGTATCAAAGACGTGGAAAGAGGAAGAAAACTAATCTGTGTGCTAATCCTGCCAAAGGGTGATTAGAGACTGGACTCCAGAGGTTCTCTACACCCTGCCTGAAACAGTCCTACAAGTGCAGACCACCACTAAATCTGGTCAGGTAAATAATTTCCAAAAGCTATCCTGAGGTCAAATCAAAAGGTTCTGTAAACTGGGAACCCCTCAATGCCAAATCAGTGTTGTTCCCATTGAATACATTAGAATAAATGCCCAAAATGTGATGGAGAGCTAAGATATTAAGGGCCTTAATTCTGGAACCCACATGGGAATATTATGACATCAACCTAGTGGTCCGATCTGAGGTTTATAGTCTATTAGGGATAGATAAACTGCCCCAACAGTTATGGTTGCCATAGTGGCAGTGTGAAAAATAAGCGAGTTATTTAGGCAGAGGTAATAAATCCCTTATAAAAGTTATATAAAAATCACAAAATTATTGACAAATAAACATTTAGAAAAAGAAGAGTAACACTCCCCCAAATAACCAGGTCACCAAAAAATACAAATCAAGAGAATGCTAAATTGTCTGAGTTCAATTTATAGTTACAGGATTCTTTCTGAGTAATATCTCTAACCTAAAAAGAAAATAAATAAAGTGTAATTAAAGGAACAAAATCCTCCTCACCAAGTAGAAAATTACTGCTAACTACATCAAAGGATGTACTGAGTATAGATAAGAATTCAACAGGCCTCCCTTTGATAACTTCTCATTCCCCCTAATCCAGGAAGACTTTTAGATCAGCAAGGTGCTAAACACAGCTGTATTTCAATGCACCTTTTTCACTTATTCTACTCATAAATTTATTAGACAGGGAGGAAAAAGTTGTTAAAACCACAAAAAAATATCTAAAGTTTTATGGTCAGCCAATATGCAGCTAGTATAAAAAGCCTTCTATCTCTTCTAGTTCACTCAGGAAGATTTCTGTTCAACATCAAAAGTATGAAACTATGTATAACAGCCAGAGAAAGAACACAATCTCTCACCCGCACACTTAACAGGCTCACTTTTGGTCCTTAGAAGTTTCAACATTTTTCTTAAAATTCCTTCCTCCCTTCTGTCAGACCTCTTCCAATTAGAGAAGGAAAAAAGAGTAAATACATTTATAAAATTCTGCTTTTTCACAGTAAGTCAAATTCACCCAGCTTATAAGAATTTTACAAAAATAAAAGATAATTCTTGCTTCTGGAAATGACAACACAAAAGACAAGAAAATATATACAAAATCTGAATATAAAATTACAACAAGAAACTTAAAAGATCTTTGACAAAGACATGATGTAACCTAGATCAAAATACCTCAAACATGAAATCCACAATAATTATGAATAATTTCTCACCAAAAGCAATCATAATCTCACATAAATAGTAAAAGCAGTATGTTTTTTATGAGAAAGTAATCTGCAACCATTCAGAAACAAGGTGCCAAGGAATTACAGAAAGAGGAAGGTGCCATTCTAACACTGGGAAAATTCTCCCTTGCTCAGAAAGATCTTCCCCATACAACCTATTTATTTTTCTAATCTTCACCCAAAGATATGTTTTTATTGATTTTTTTTTTTTTTTTTTTTTTGGAGGTGGGAAGAGGCTTGGGAGCCAGGAATAATCTTCCCCCTATTCCAGGACCAGCTTTATTTAAAAGCGTCAGTATAGTGGAATGATTTAAAGGAAGCTCCCCGGTCCCATCCCTCATCCACGACCTCACTCATCAAAGATGCATCGAAACTAAGAAATAAATACCCATTAAAAAGGAATTACCGTCTCTCCTAGCTTGTATGTTTAATCGGACTGCTTCCCTGGCTAGGCAGGAATGGGNGAGAGAGAGAGAGAGAGAGAGAGAGAGAGAGAGAGAGATCAATATAAGAAACATCAACTGATTGCCTCCCATACTCGCCCCAACTCGGGATTGAACCTGCAACCCAGGTATGTGCCCTGACCAGAAATCGAACCTCCCACCTTTTGGTGAACAGGACAATGGTCCAGCCAACTGAGTCAGCAGGTCAGGGCCCCATACATCCTATTTAGCTGAGATCATTTGCATGAAAGGTATGTACATTATGATGTGAGGATAAACAGAGGAATAATGAAAAAGCAGTATTAGGACATAGCTAATTCTGGGAAGTGCAGAGCTGCCTGAGGGCTGCACTGAGGTGTTTTTATTTGCCCAAAGGCATTGGTTACCAAGGATCTAACTAGTCAATGGTATTGGGGGTGGGGGTGGGAGGGTGGAGAGATAATAAAAAGAAAGTTTCCTGAGTATAGATAACTTGATCTATTTCACAACTTTGTAAAGGAAGCACATGGGGGAAACTATGCCTTTGCTACCAAAAATCATTTGTAAGTTGTCTACAGTCTAGTGTGGGCCAACATTCATGGGGCCTAAGAGGAAAAAATGTGCTCAGCAAACCCTGAAAGTCCAACTACCAAAATATACTCCAAATCTGGCCACTTCTCAGCACATCCAGCATACTCCAAAGCCACCATCATCCCCTGCCTTGATTACTGCAGTAACCCCAGAACTGATCTTCCTACTCCTACACTTACCCCCTTCAAACTCTTCTAAACACAGCAGCCAGCAATGCTTTTAAGGCTAAGTTAGATCATGAAGGCCAGTACGGCTAATACAGAGTGAGTGGAGTGACAGGAAACTGGGGGAGAATAGAGGGGATGCAGATCATGTAGGGGCTTGAAAATCCACAATAAAAGCTTTGGATTTTCTTTTGAATGAACAGAAGTTATGAGCAATGAAGTGATATGATCTGACTTATATTTTTAAATATACTATCTAAATATTTTTAGATAGTATATTTAAATATAAATATTTTTATATATTTATATTTTTAAATATAAGTCAGTATAGATAGTATATTTAAATTTTTGGTATAGATAGTATATTTAAATTTTTTTAAAAAAAGAGCAAGGATGAACAAGACTGGAAGCAGGGAGACTAGTTAGGATTTCAATAATCTGGAAGAGAGATGAAGGCAGTAGTGGTATGACTGATACAATGTGGTCACATTCTGAATATATTTTGAAATAAGATTCCACAGGATTTGTTGATGAACTGGGTTTAAGAAAAAGAGGAATAAAAAATTACTCTGGCCCTGGCCAGTTTGGCTCAGTGATTAGAATGTCAGCCCACGGACTGAAGGGTCCTGGGTTCAATTCCCGCCAAGGACACATACCTCAGTTGCAAGCCCCAGTCTCGTCAAGTAAGGGAGGCAACAAATAGATGTGTCTGTCTCACAACAATGTTTCTCTCTCTCTCTCTCCCTCTTCCACTCTTTCTGAAAAAGCAATGGAAAAAAAATATCCTTGGGTGAGGATTTAAAATAAAAGACTCTGAAGCTTCAACAGGTAGAAGAGAGTTGAGGTGAGGAAGACTGAGGGAGGAACATGTTGGATGGGATGATATAAAAAATTCTGTTTTGGACATGTTAAGTTCAAGGTGCCTATTACGCATCCAAATGGACAATTCAAGGAAAAGTTGGATATGGAAGTCTGGAGTCAAGGGAGAGGACACAGCTGGTCGTCACAGAGCCACACAAGAGCTCTCTTGCATGACAGGCTCATTTCCAAGGACAGACTCAAAGGCACAGCAACGAAAGAAAACAGGTTTTCAAATGGCAGCAGGGTTCAGTTACAAAAGACCCCCAACCCCCACTCCACTCTAATTTCCACATGCATTTGCTAAAGAGTAGGTATACGCAGTGATATTTACATTTCCTTGCAATTCTAGTTATCATTATAGCTAGATATTTTTATTGGCTATATCCATAATCCTTTTACAGGGTATCCTAATAAATGCAGGGTGTTTATTACTATTCTAGCCAATAAACCATGTGACCCACAGATTTAAAAATAAGTAGTCATCTTTAATTCATCCTTTTAATTTATCACTAGCATAAAACAATCACACTCAACTGATATACTAGAGTGCTACGCAACTATTTTAAAAATGAGATGAATCTGTATGTATTGATATAGAATGATGTGTATAATATGTTAAATGACAAAATGTACACAGCAATATTATATAATTCAATCCCTTTTGTGTAAATAAAAAGGGATGTATATTTAAGTTATTGGATACTAAAATGTTTTTCTGGGAATATATACAAGATGCTTAATGGAGACCTCTTTGAGGATAGGGGCACTGGGATGAAAAAGGAAGCTTTTAATTCTCATTTTATATGTTTCTGTACTGTTTGAAGTTTTTACCATGTTCATAGTATTTTATTTATTTATACATTCATATATTCATTATAGAATTAACTGAGTGATAGGTTTATGGCCCAATTATATTTTCTTCTTTATGCATTTATGCATTTCTTTAAAAACCTAATAAATGTTCTTTTTTCCTAAGATCACCATTCTCCTTCTCTTTGCAGTCTCTACTACACTTGATCCCCTTCTTATAGTGACCCCCCATTCTACTGATCTTCCACATACTGTACATTATTTTTTCCTTATTTAAAATGGGGCTAATAGTACCTACTTCACAGGTCATGATGAATAAATGAGATAAACATGTAAAATGTACAGTAGAGTGCTGAAACACAGTAAGAACTTAGTAACTGTTACCTATTTGTAGTGCAAATTGCTGTTTTTGTAATTCTGCATATATTCACTCTTAACTACAAAGAATTTCTCCTTGAAACACAGACTCCATCACTCTTAGCTCATGTGGCTTAAATGGGGCCAGCAATGAGACTCAGACTTAAACCAATTAGAGCATTCCATTCCCTTTGCACAGAGACTGTGTTTCACAGATGGCCCAGAATTTTTATTCAAACAAATGATGGGAAAGAAAAACTCTCCTTACCCCCAGTCTTTAATTTTAGAAAATTTGAGGCTGAAGTTACTGTAGCTATCTTACCACAGCAAGGAGACAGCCTGGAGGTGCCAAAGGCCACTATGTAGAGCCTGAGAATAATGCCAAGTAAATGGTATGCAAAGCAGAGCAAAGAAACAAAATCCTGCTGTCGTTGAACACCGTCCAGTTATACTCACCTGATTTTTTGGATATAGAAGCCAATTTTTTTTTTCTTAAGACAAACTGGATTGGGTTTTCTGTCACATATCTAAAGTCCTACCAGAGACAATACTATAATTATTTCTTTTTCCTAGATTCTAACATTTTCTGATGCTATTTCTTCTTTACTCACAACCTTAAAAACCTAACCTATTTTTAGTGTTCCAACTATCCTTATAACACTCTCTCATCCTATTTTCTCTCTTGAGCTATATTCTCTACCGCTACTGCCTATTTGATATATCTTTCAATAAAGCCCACAGACATGAACAAAAACAAACTCATCTTTCAAAATGGTCCTTCCCAAAAAAATATTCCGCTTCCTCGCTTCCTATTTTTTTCTGTGAAGTAGGTGAGAGTTTTAGCAAGGTTAATGTACTTGGGGGCTTATATAGGGTGACCAAAAAACATGTATACACACTTTAACAGCTGATAGCTCAACTGATGTTTCTTTTCAGCCAGAATACACTTTGAACAAAGGAAATTCATCCTAAAACACTACTGGAAGTTTGAAAATGCAGCCAAAGTACAAACACGGCCTTTATAATTCTTCAAAATGTGTATACATTTTGGGGGGACACCCTGTATTATCCAGAGGGGTATTCATTACTATCTGTCCTGTGTCTATATCCAATTTATTAATCTTGAATGATAATCTCTAAGTATTTATACATCACTTACATAAGTTCATGTTTATTTATTCTTTTTTTCCATTTAAAAAAAAGTATCTTTTTTATTTCAGAGAGAGGAAGGGAGAGGGGGAGAGAGAGAGAGATAGATGAGAGAGTCATTGATTGGCTGCCTTCTGCACGTCCCCTGCTGGGGTTAGAGCCCACAACCAACCGGAGCAGGTGCCCTGGCCCCGAATTGAACCTTGATCTCCTGGATCATAGGTTGATGCTGAACCGCTGAGCCACTTGGGCCAGGCTATTTATTCATTTTGATTCATTAATTAATATCTAATTGACTCAAATACAGGATGTACATATGTATACATTTTGGGAGGATACCTTGTATTTACAGTTGCAAACTTGACTAATATTTTTAAACATTTACCCAATCTA